GTTTGGCCACCAATAATAACAAGAATTAGATGAAAAATTTCTATTATAATATTGATAATTTCCGAAATGGATGAAAAATATTCAAGTTTTTTGAGCATCATTAGGATTTGAATTTCAAAGATTATGACTAAAAGATCTTAAAGATTGTAAAAAAAAATTATTAATGAATAATTTTCTATTTTTTTTTTTAAATATAAACTTATAAACTTACATGCAGCATAATAAAGAAAATGAAATGCTTGATGATAAATAGTAAGCCATAAACGAATTCTTCTAACAATTTTATGTCGTTGATCATTGTTATTATTATAATTATCATCAAAAATATTTTCATTTTGTTTATTTAATGATTTTTCTCTTAAAAAAAATCTTTGATCACCATTGATTAAAACACGATAAATTAATTGTGTTTCCCGGGTATTATTATTATGAAAATATAATTTGTATGTAAAATAAACAATTAAACAACCAAATGATGAATCAAAAAGATTTATTTTATTATCAATATTAGCCATTTTGAATGGATTAAAATGTATTAAATGCCATTCAAATGAATGATTATCATCATTCAAATATATATAAAGAAAACGAATTGACCATATAATCATTATAAACATTTTCCAATAAACTTTCCGGATAATATGTTTATTCTTATCGACATTGATCAGATAAATTTGTTGAAAATAATTTTCAATTTGTTCAATATTAATTTTTAGAAAATTTGATTGATTTGGAAATTTTCGTTGTTGAAAATTGAACGATTGAAGCATTGTTCGTAATCTGTTTATAGAGAATTTTTTCATTTCTCTTTTTGTTCTTATCAATGAATAAAATGAATTAAAATCATTCCATTATTATTTTTCAATGTTTCACATTAGTAGTATTCATTTGTTCATGTTTTGATATTATATCACGCAATTTTACATTTTTTTTCATGAAAACAATTTTACCATTAAAATTTTCAATCGAAACTATATGTCATTATCATTTGACCTATGGTTGTGCTAATTGATAGAGTGTAATAAATGAATAAAAAAGAAGAAAGAAGAATTCCTTCGAAACAAAAACAACTTTAAAATCGATGATAATAAAAGAACAGAAATAATCATCAAAAATAATCATCAACGATAAAAATTTTTAACTTTTTTTTTGCAAAATTCATGAACATAAATTACAAACGATTGTTCAATTAATTTTTGACAAGTAAACAATCGACAATTTTGACAATCGATAATCATAAAATGACGACATCACCGACTAAGTTACCCGAAAATGAATTTGATAGAAAATGTTTTTTTTTAATGTCAACTTTTTTCAACCATCATTATCATCATCATTAGTCATTTTGTTTTATGGATTGTTTAATTGTCCAATCAAATATGGTATTGGTATAGAACAACCAAGAGAATAATGAAAAAAAAATATAATCAACGAAAATTCGTTTTAAAATAAAATTTGATAGAAATTTTTTTTTTTT